CATCGCCTATATTCAACCTTTTTTTCATTTCAGTCTGATGCACAAAGCGTCACCTCAGTTGTTTTCATGAACGACAGCACTCTAATCTCCTCGGGCTCAACCGATGGGTGAGGTTTTCCTACAGTGGTATATCTCATGAACTCCAATATATGCCTCCATGCGCATACTGTCTGCACTGATGATGTTCTATCTGGTGTTGACTGTATCATGCAGAAGTCCTAGAGATGCAACTTATCATGTCTCCGCTGAACTCCTCTTTACCCCTTACCCGTGCGTCGAATTAGGCTTTCTCTGTAAAATTCCTTCTAGCGAACCACAGTGATGTTGTAGGTCGTGCTCACAAACATGTTTGTAAACAGCATTCCAAAGTAATTTTCTCAGGTAGTCATGTCATCTAAGCGTTTACCGCGTAAATTGCTAGACACCATTGCGACTTTTAAACGATACAGTCGTTTACGGAATGACTAGCCGTTAACTTACTGGTCAGGTGCGCAGTACATCGCTTCTTCGTGTCCGATGTCACTGCGTAGCTTGGAGATATAACCACTGCTAATTAGAGACTAGTTATGTTTTAGCAGCGATGCTGGCGAAGCATTAGCTCACCGTTCTGCCAATTGATATTTGACGGCAAAACTTTTGGTTTCGCACTCGATCATTTCCCAAATTTGCATCGCTTACCTTCCTCGCATGCCCGTTTGCCACCTTCTCTTGCGTGTCGTTTGTGGATTCTGCTCTGAGTTTGTGAAAATCCGGTTGTTAATCAAAACTTCATGCTCCTTCAAATTTTGTTGCATCAGAACACGTACTATTTTACTGCCTAACCTAGAGATATGACATGATGACCATCAGAGACATCGCAACAGGAAATTTACAGTACTGCTACCAAGGGCTAGAGCAACCACACTCTCCAACACTTTCCTCATCAGATTCTCCACCTTATGAAACAACCTACCAACCGCAATCAAGGCATGTGAAAACCTAACATTCCACACCAAACTCGGCAGATTCTTAGATCTTATCCAGCAAGTCAGTTGATGAAATGTTCCAGAATGGCCAAAAGATATTTAACAAGCTAAGTGTCACCACCAATATTCATTCGTGCAAGAGCGCGATCATTTCCGTATAAACTGATCTGTTCCTATTTTAGTAACAGTTTCTCCCACCATAAATATATATATATATATATATATATATATAGTGAATAACCCATCGACTTCGAGCGCATTGTGCTGTTGCACATGCGGTCGTGAGTGTCTCAGTCAAGCGGGTTTGGCAAACCACCAGTGTCGCCACTTTGGACCAGCATCTAAGAAAAGACGAGTATGATATATGTGTAATCATCAGCGCAGCGCTTGGTAACTTCGCTGCTTCCGATTCAATCTGTACGTGTGCCTGCGATTTGAGATGCTTGCATGCCAGGTGTTGGTTGTTGATTGATAACCCCGGTGCTTTTGCGCTTGAGGTGAGGGTTGCTAAGATGCTTACTCATCTATTACCCATTACCTCGCCTACACTGCCTCCAGGATACAGTTATTCGTTGTTGAAGGGGACAGGGTACACGGTCTTCGTGGCCGTGATAGACTTAATGAGTGGTTCCAGGCATCCAGTTTGGAAATAGTTTCGGCCTTGTGTACGTCTGGTACGCATGATTACCTACACGGATAGACAGGAATGATGCTTATGTGCATCTTGAAGAAGTGTGGGCCGGCTCCGTTGATAAAACGTGGCTTCCATTCACATGCCTCCCGGGCTTATTCCTTCGGGTTTACGCTGAATATTATGTTTGTGGGTGGTGCTGCGCAAGCCACCCATGGTCTCTCTGTAGGCGCAGGCGTCCTGTAGCTGGCCACAGTGACAGGCAAATCTCAAACCGGATGCCGCCAACCATATATTTCACGAGCAGTATTCTCGTTAAAAGTGATGATCAAAGATCTGAAGGCAACCAAAATCCCCAGATTAGGGAGGTTGAGTTTCCCTACGTCATTGAACGGCCCTTACTACCATCCTTTCTTTCCAACTTCCGATATCAAAGTTTTCTCTGGTTTAACTGGACACTTCCAGCCATCACAATAGGTGGATTTGGTAACCACATCCTCGTCCCCGTTATTACAAACACCAAAATAGATGAATTGACCAACTATCTGTGCTCCGTCGTCGTTAAGAACCGAAGCTACTGGTGGCCATACACCAGCATCTTGCACTTTCAAACGCAAAGGGTGGGCACTTTTCCCCTTCTCAAAATTGGTCTATCGCTGTAACACACTCCGAGTTCAGCTGACACGATAAATGAAACTATTCTACCAATGTTGCCTTTTTAAAACACCTCTTGTTACTGGTGAAGAAGTGAGTCAGACTTTTAGTCTGAACTCCACGGGTCATCGGTTTGAACCCGCCTGTGTGTAGGCCATATCTCGCTCTCCCAGCTTGCATGCCGTTGCTGGGCTTTACTTGGCCGTGAAGCGTCTCAACGACGAGGTTTTATTGTACTTCTATAATAGAACCATATCAGGAATAAACTATCAGTTTTCAGACTGTTTCTGATCCGCGCGCTCACCAGGCGCGCATCATGTGCTATTATGCTGTTCGAGTCCTCACGAGTAACGTTTTGGAGACCACATCTCAGCGAACCCATTGCTGACCTCAATGCAAGACGATAAAGTCAAGAGAACTTCTTCGACATTCGTGTTGATCTGAATGGCATTTGTGTTATGTACTGTTCTTTGGTGTGTCACTGTCCATAGCTTTTGTCACTTTTTCTTTTTAAACGTTCATTATATGCGCTTCTTATTCCCATGCAGCTTCCCTACTCCTTTTTGCGTGTTTGTTAGGCATTTCAGCATACTCACAGTCTGTTTTTCGGTGTCTTTTCATGAGCTTATCATTTCTTCTTCATCCGAATAACTCTGTGCTCTACTAAACCTTGGATCACTCATCCAAATTTTGCATCTTTTTTATCATGAGATTGCATTTCTCCTGGCCTCACATTGTTCCACTCCAATTGTCGCTACAAGTTTTAGTCACAGGCATCATAAGCCGGAAGTCCTTTTCCTCGTCTGTCCAAGCACTTACCTCTCCTTTGTCTTCCATCACAGGTTTATCTCATTCTGACCGCCCAGCTGTGCGTCACATGCGCATTTGTATGCTTATTTCTCTTGGAGTAAGTCCATTTTACATCTCTATAGCTCCTTCTCACCTCTCTACAGACCAACTGTAGGACGCTGGGTTCGCCGGAATTCTTGGTTCTACTACATGTCTTAGTGAGTGCACTCCCCACCTTTGCATGCTTATTCTTTCTTTTGCTTTCTGCACCCTGTCTAACCTGGTCTCCGCTCCTATCGCTTTCAGTGCCACTTTCATCGTCACATACATCGCATTGGTGTGTTGTCCAAATGTCCGACGACGTTATCCAGGCAATTTCATTGCACTAGGCGTATTTGTAAGTGACCTTTTTGCCACTTTGTTACTTTGTCTTGATTCATGCAATGCAGTCCTCAGGTAGCAGATAGGCTGCACAGTGTCGGCCCATCTTCCCCTCTCTCTAGATCAGCCATTCTCGACGGGAGCCATATGGCCCCCCTGAGGGCCATAGAAAATTCCCGCGGGGGGGGCCCTGGAGTGAGAATTTTTTGGTAGGGGGCGCCATGGGGAGCCAAACACACTAATGCCATGCGCACTAATCTCCCCTGGTCACCACCGGTCAGTGAAGCGAATTACGCGCGCGCGCAGATGCCTGTTTACGAAAGTGCTGAGCAAACTTTCTGTTGCGGAGCTGGCATAGCCTCGCCAAAGTTGCGCAGATTTCGTCGGGTTCATCTCAAGCCTACAATCACCACACGACGACTTGGACTGCGCAACTAGCACCCGCTTCGTCCTCAGCACTCTGATGTCTATCCACAATGAACCAACTGAGCTTTACCAAGAACACTGATGCATCTGTTGTGCAAGCTGCAATGACCCTAGCGAACTCTCGTCAGTACACTGCGACATTTACCTCACAAAATCACATTGTCACTAACTGAGTTTTCTTCAGGACACTGCCACTGTGTGACAACTAATGTGCCAATCATTCTTCCTCGTTCGGGCCTCATTGCGGTAGCGTTAGGTCAGGAGTTTTTCGTCTCCATTCTCAGCTGGCAGTGTACCACTATTCTTTATTTCTAACGGTTATAAGGAAGAAGTTTTATACATATATTGGTGTGAACGCACAATTAACTGACATTTAGAAAAGTGGAACACTACCGTCTCAGCTCGCGTGTACATCTGCCGGCTAAGTCACGTTAGCCCGCAGGGTTCCGAATTCGAGTAGCTACTCTGCGCGCGTGGGTACTATCTTACGTGTGGACATCCGGTTGCTTCGGTGAGCATATACAACATAATGTGTACATAAGGATACTTCTCCGTATACTTATGACAATCAGATGCCTTGCCAGCACGCATCTGACGCCATGTTTGGCAATAGCTGATGTATGTTATTCGCTTGGTCGTTGACTCTCCCATGCAGGTTTCTTGAACTATCCGACATTTTCTTACATGGTTATCTCTTCTGTCCTTCATTTTACCTGTTACCACTGTTTGCTACAACTGCCCTGTAAGGTAGGTGTGGCTAGTGAGTATTGTCATTTCCTGAGTTCCATGTGTTTTCATCAGCGGCCATTGTCAAGAAGTTTTCTGTCATTTTACCCATCCACAGTACTTTCAGAGGCATCCTCAGAAACCACCTTTGGGTGGCCTCTTACAGTGTTTCTACACTTACACATTTCAACATTGTAGCCACAAACAGCTGGTACACGTATGCTGGCCATACGTCTTATAATCTCACGATCAAGCAAGAAGAAATTTAGTGCCATCAATTATTCATACTAACTACGTGTTTCGTCTTGTCAAAGGATGTTATTTAATAACCATTACATAAATATGTACGAAAAAGAAAGTAAAAACAGAATATATATTAACAATTTACAATGACATTTCATAAATGAGCTCCTCGGCAAAGTAAGAGCGTCGGCAGCACTCCGTAGAATACCTGTCATTTGGATTTATCGCCTTACTTCAACACTCCACTCTAACTAAGTGTCTAATTTACCAAAACACTCTTTCAGATGAAATTATGCGGCCACATAAACTGAAAAACCATTTGGATAGTGTCGATAGAGGAGAAAGCGGAATGTCTGTGGATTTTCATTTTTTAAAGCTTTGGGATAGCTTCGAAAACATACCAACTTTATAGACAATAGTTTCTGAGACAGAAAGAAGACAAATGGACTTATGGCGTCTCATCAAATCAGCAAATTGATTGCCAAAGGTTGTAGTCCACATAATGTTGGAGCAACTATTATCTTGTCTTCAGTATCAATACTGCGGCCGGACCGGATGTATATGAATCCACAAAAAGCAGTTTAAGCCAATCTGCTCAGCAACCCAACTGTATCTAGGCGAATAGATGAAATGCCTCAGGACATAGAAAGCATGTTTGTTACCTTACTAAAGACTAGCAAATTTTCGTTAGAATTAGATGTATCTACTTTACCTGACAGCGACTCTTCAATGATAATGAATTAATGGAAGAGATGCTGCTTTCCATGATATATAAAAATCTCTTACAAAGGGCCAGTCCCTGTTCGAAGTAGACAGTGACTATCTGCCTAAAAACTCCATCCCAATGCGGAACATAGTTGCAGATTCAACAGATGGTGCTAACGCAATGGTCGGAAGATAAAGAGGATTCATTGCCCATCTAAACGGTGTTCTCCCTTCTGCTCATCCAATTCACTAACAGCACCTAGTGTGGCTGAGAACGTGGGCGGGCGCTTAAACGGTTCACTGTCAACGTTTATCATAGTAGTTAACAATATCAATCCGCACCCTATTCAAGCTCGTCTTTTTCAGCAATTATGTGATCAGAACAGTGAATATTTTCTGGTTCGACTTTTGCATACAGAACTTAGATGATACTCCAGGGGCAATTGTCTTCACCGTTTTATTGCACTCTGGGACACCCTCACCACATTTCTTTCCGGAACTGATTATAAAAAAAACACTTAACAACTAAGTCAGACGTGTTTTATCTGGCTGATGATTTGGAAAAACCCAACATCTTAAATAAAACTCTTCAAGGCAAGTTGCATACTCATCTCAAGCAAAAAAGCCAGTATCGCTTTACTTAAACAGTCGAAGTGTATGCTCATAATATCGGACGTCGAGAATTTTCCGTTCCAAATTAATTGTTTATGCCAGTCATTTACAACAGCTCCGAAAAAAAGTGAAAGACAAGTTTAATGACCTGATTGACATGGAAATCTCGATTTAGATTTTGAATTCACTTATGATATGCAGCGAGATTGGAGCTGCAATCCAGGAAAGTCTCAGAAAGCTTAAAAATAACACACTAGCAAGATCCAGATTTACGCTATATAGAAGGGAGTTTTGGATGAACTGATGCCCTAGACTGTGGTAAATAGCTGAAATATATTTCCTTGCTTTTCCATCCACATACATGGTTGAATGTGGATTAAGCACCTTGGTTTAACAAAATGTAGAAATAGACTGGACATCACAGCAATAGGAGATATTCAACTATCGCTGTCAAGTCTGGAACCGGACATAAGCAAGCTTTCTCAAGAGCATCAGGTTTAAAGTTCGCATTAATATCTCGAAAACGTATTTTTACGAAGTTACTACACCTAATTCATGACATGCCTTACAGTTAAATGCCAACAATAAGTAAATCCCATTTTGAATATTAATGATGAGTTTAGTGTACTTACAGACAAGTGGCGTGATGTTGCTACGCAATGTATGTTATCTTGAGGCTGTGAAAGGTAAAAAAGGTGGTTTACAAGGGAAAAGGCAGTGTTACCAACATTTAGAATTTATTCATCATAACAAAAAAAATGCCAATATGACCAGTGGAGATCGTAGATTTGCGTCAGTTAGGCGTTGCGTATTGCTGAAATTGTGGTGATGAAGGGTGGGAGTCATAAGAAATGGTAAGCTTCAAAAGGGGGCACGGCCGAATAAATGTTAAAAATGCCTGCTCTAGACACCTGCACCATTTTTCACTAGTTCCACTGTCTTTCGTTCACGGAACTCGTGGGTTGACCCCACTGCAATTTGATAAATACAGCAACAGTACCCCAGTACTTTGCACTAATGTTTCCCTGCCAGGTAATCACAGTGGAATACATATCCAGCAATAGGATAATATTCATGAGTAGAGGGGTTTAGCGAGATATATTTTAATTCCTCGCAATTGCATGGCGAATCCCTTTACTCATGAGCAGTCAAAATTCACCCCAGTAATATTCAAAATGCTGTGCGGATTCGTGGCCACTGATGAGAAAGTCCTGACACCTGGGAGCTGACCACAGCGTCTGTACGAGCTGTAACCTGCATGGCAGAGAAGGATAGGTTGAGTTATGTCGAACTTATATTTCAGTCCATGATGGCTTGCTACCGTCCTCCATGACTCAGTAGCATAAGCTCCTGACTCCTGGTTCGGTTCCCTGAAGGGAACTGCGGGAATGCGCGCTATTGATTAATCCTAAGAGGGCGAAACATCCATCTTGTGGTTTTCCAGATTGGTAATTGGCCAAACTAGCTTGTAATCTAGTTGCGACGAACTAACTTAAAAATAAAAGTACTTATGTTATTAGGATAGTAGAACAGAGCCTTCGTGAAGAACCTGGATTCCATAGACAGATATTGAGGATCAAGGCACTTGCAGCGTACCAACGCCTTACGTTTACGAACACTTGGCTATTTCGTGAGAATAAGGCGGCTTGGACAAGGTACATCTCTTATGCCTTTCATCGCTACTCGTCATAATTACCTCACTGAAAACAGCACCATATAGACTTTAAACAGATGATTCGACGGTAGCAAAGATGCTACGGGTCCCGGTAGCGACCATGCTCCGTTTGGTCTTAAGCCCAACATTGGAAGTATCGCGTTTTCGCCTCAATCTGGAAGATAAGACAAACGAAAAGCACCCAGTTTAACCGTGGATGACTTCATTTCCCGACACACCATTCTTATATTGTGCCACACTACGTTAGTCAAGGTACTCTTTGCAGAAGTGTGGGTGGGCGTGCATAGATCCGCCCAAACCAACGCAGCACACTTGCGCATCTCTGTTGTTCTAACTATTTAGCGTGGTTATATATATATATATATATATATATATATATATATATATATATATATATATATGTTTTGATGTAATTCACGCCATCTATAGAGCCACTATGATGTTCACATAGAGAACGGTGTGAAACCACTGTCCAGATATTTTGGGGATGGTCGGCGATCACCTGGTATGCTTTCGTCGTATCGTTCTTCGATGACTTCGGGGGATACCTTGCTTTATGTATATGGCTTGTCGTGTCGTCTATTCACTTTCTGAATCCCGTGCACTTGTGGGCAGGAATGACCTCTGATCCATCCGGCTGTGCCGCTTGGTCGACTTTATCTGGTTACCCTCTTAGATTGGTTATATGATTAGGTTACATCAAACAGTGCTTTAAAGCAAACTGTAGCCTCCATCGAGATTGCGTGTCGTCATCCACACACACACACACACGGCGTCTATTCCAAGACCCAGTAATAAAATTCTGATTGTTGTGTCAAGGGCTGCTGTGAAGCTCTGACCTAGTGACCAAGACGAAAGCCGGCAACCATTGTGTTGGTTTCCCCTCTCCGCTCAAGCTATCTCTACCTGACGAGTCCAAATCAGGACAAAATCGGTCGGTCGTGAAGTGCAGTGCTGGGAGAAAGCAGCTCCGAAACTCCACTTCGGATGCGGTCCCAGTGCTCGAAATGGCATAGAGTTGCTTCAAAGCAAACTGTAGTCTTAATCGCGATTGTGTGTCGGGTACTCCAAGATCCACTAATGAAGTACCTAACTTCGTTTGTGATCCTAAAGATCGTGAGTGCCGTTACAAACTCAGTGAACGATACCGTCCGCCGTACACTTCCATGGACCTTCTGCCTCAGGTGCCACACCATCCTCATTCACTTTCATTATGGAGTCTCCAACGCATGAAGATCTTGCTTACTCTCTGGTTACTAGGTGTCAATGCTGTGGGACCTTGTATAAACATTAAGCATCTTCGGAAATCAAAAACAGTCAAACTGCCTGCACATCCTCTTCAAATGGTCAACCAGCTTATTACAATTTCTCTAAACCTCGAATCACTCGTGACCATTCTGTAACCCCTCGCCACTACTCTCCTGTACCGTTACTCTCAGCTCACATCCGCGAAAGGTTTTCTGCGACATGTGTTCCCATTGGACATCATTTCCATTTGAGTGGTGCCGTTTACGAACTATCTTGCCTTCAGTCACATTAAGCAGGCTACTCACTTCCCTTTCCTGATCGTTATTCAGATCCCCCTGGAATGCCTCATGATGGCACTTGTCTTTTAATCGCAATCACTGGCAAATCGTATGAGATCCGAATTCGTCACACGCGCAGAGGAATTCATGTTTGCATGTGTGTGCGTATGACACTTATAAACTACAATATCTGACTTCTAGCACTTCACACCGGTCCGCACATCATAGGCGTGTCATTTGGTCACTTAGTGGAACATTTATCCTGAGTCCTGCGGCCACTGAGGTCATTTGTGGTCACTTTAAACTCGGTGTGTTGAACAAAACATTCCTTGCGCATCTCATTTCGCGAAGTGTTTACGGGGAGCGGCCTTTCACTTGATGAACTGAATCGATTTCCACCTACCTGCCGACATGGTAATGTCAGATTGTCTACGTGGGACATGCTGTTCCAGCGATTTGCGAATTTATGGTCCTTGTGTCCTCAACTGTGTAATGGTGGACGCGTCTGCCGGTGCTTTACGTTCTGGTTTTGAACCGCACTCAGACTACCTCGTCCTGAAGATTCCCAGAGCGAAAGTGCCCGGTGCATTGTTAGGTCCGAGCAATACCTAGCTACGAGGTCCCACTGCACTAGCTGACCGAGTTTTGCTCCAAAGGGAATCGCGGTCTATCGCGCGCTATCTGTTCTCACGGTAGAAGAATCAGACGTAGGCGATCTTTTCTTAGTTAGTTTGGAGGTGAGCACCATGGGGCGATGCTTGTGAGACACGGAGGCATTTACGATAGGGTTTCTCTTTTTGGTGTTTTTTGCTCGGCTTCTTGTGGACCTTATGAAGTATCCAACTATCGCGTTTCTCATCTTTTCCGCGGCAGTAATACAGCGTACTCCAAAGGAATCATCACCTTCCCTCTCTCTCCACCTCTCCGCTTTTTTCACCGAGGGGACTTGCACTCATACACCACTTACCGCATGTGAGAATTAGCTGTTCTCTGTGTTGTCATTCAAGATGTTGCCCACCGGTGGCAGAGCCGTTTGGACGCGTTCGTTGTAGTCTATAAGCCTCAGATTCAAGTCCGGTTAGTTGCAGGCGACCTTGCAGCATTCTTTCCCGCATGCAACCGTTACTTGTTACGTCGCAGCGAAACGTCTATACAAATTTCGGGCTTACTGCCTATCTGTCCACGCTGCTCTGGGACTTGTTCTCCTCTTTCTGTTTCGTACAAGCGAATACTCTTCAGATTGTTCGAATTGTGGGTCATCGGGCACCCCCTTCCGCGGTCGCAACGCCGGTTCGCAATGATCTATCCGAAACCTTATTGATAGTGGTTACTGTGGGACTTGTCTGGTCACGCAATCTCAAATCACCTCTTTCGTTTACAATAATGGCTTTCCACTATGCTTTAGAATTCCTGAACTCCACCTCGTTAGCATGTTGAAATAGCCTAGACTGTATCGTTGCGTTTTGAACATCACTCTGATTTTCACCCTTTGTATAAATCATTTTTCCCTTCAATTGAGTAAAGCTTTGCGCAGGCGTGCGCTAAACTGTCTTGCTGGTTGTGTACCGTCAAATGGACGACGGTCTTTTCTTTGTGTATTATTTATCCTTCCCTCTCTCTCTCTCTCTCTCTCTCTCCTTCCTCTGTGACTGCGCAGACACTTGCCTTCTCCTACATGACGGGCACCATCGCTTCGTTCTATAGCACCTCCTCGGTGCTCATCGCGATCGCGATCACAGCCGCCGTCTGTCTGGCCATCTCGTTGTTTGCCATCCAAACTCGCATCGATTTCACCAAATGTACCGCCTTGTTGCTCGTACTCAGCCTGGTGCTCCTCTTCACCGGTATCGCGTGCATGATTGTCTACGCTGTGTCTCCTCAGAACAGAGTATGTCCGATTTCGATGACTTCTATTTGCATTCGCGTCAACTTCTCATTCTGCATAACATACACTCCTGCTTAGCCTCCCCCTCCAATCACGATCTCATTCGTTAGGCATAATATAACTCGTTTTGCAGCGCGGTCGCCGGCTGTTAGCTCTCTGGAAAGATGTCCATCCGTTACTGGGAACTCAGTCGACGTGCCTCTTGTTATTTTTCTTGTCTTTCCTATTGCGGCACAATAGCTGAGGTATTTTCCACCTGCAGCTAACGTGTATACTAATAATGATGATAATGTTGGTGATGATGAGTGCAATGTTTTCCGACTGGCCAATGAAAATATCAGCTAGGATTGGTGCAAGTGGGCTGCCCATGGCCACACCATCATTCTGATGATATATTGTTCCATCGAATCGGATCTGAATGTCATTTGTGCACAATCGCAGTAGTGACTAAGGATGATGTGCCGGAACTCCCACTATCAGCGTGGACGCTGATGATGTCTACGGTCCCTCCCAACGAAACGTTGGTAAACAATAAGCACAAATCAAAAGAAATCATGTATCTTTCTACTTTTAAATCGAATGACCTTGAACGTTGTTTCCTTTTAAACACAGTACCATCATCCCACGGATTGTACGTCAACAGCTGATACATTCAGAGTATTCTGTTGAAACGTTGTTCTTTCTTGTTATTTTGAAATTTATGAAAGGATAACCCTGCATGAAATTTGTTATTGTTTCATTCCATTCGTCGTATTTTTCACGCATTTCCGGCTGTCATTTTTTGCTATTTTTCAAGCACTGTATTCAGCGAACTTAGGATTGCGTCTTCGGCGCAATTCTCCCTGTTGGAATGCTTTGCAATATGATTGCTTGCGGTGACACTGCTTTTTAACTACTCCGCCACCTGTACTAAGGTATCGATCTTCCACAATATTTTTTGTTGTGGCTTTAACTTAGAGCACTTTCGACTAGGTGAAACTCGGTTAGGCGTTTTCCAGCAGGCAGCAAACTAGAATTACAGTTTTTTGTCGGAAGCGCACATCTTCCTTGACTTCAATCCATCGGCGCTTTTTACCGGTGCTCCGCTACCACATGACCGCGAATACATAATTGACTCTGAGGATAAACACTTGTAACCAGTGAAAAATGCCCTCCCATAAGATCTAACAACATCAAGTAAACTTTCAGGGGCAAGTTGCGCTCGTCTGGTTAGCACCGTATGGTCTTAAACATCTGAATATCGTGTGAACACAAGGCCACATCTGCGAGGCGCTCTCCCTTTCTCTTTCACGGCTACATATCATCATCATCATCATCATCCCTATCACACATATCCCTGCATCATACACACTGTAAGCGGTCAGACCGACTAGAGCACAACAGCAAATATAATCACTGGTGCCCACTGATAGCCTTATCCTGTAATGTCTTAGCCATGGACATGGTGAGTCATACAGACCCCTATGTAGAAGATGAACTGGACCAAAAACCACTGATGGTTTTTGACGATTTCGTCCCCCACTATCAGATTATTGAATGCTCTCCTCGAACGGTCGATACTACGGCTAATAAAACAAGGTTCACAACAGTAATCGAGGGGCAAGTATACTAGTCACACATCCTGATGAAATCAAGGTGTGTTTACCTTCCTTGTAAGCCAAACAAGCTAAACTACATACGTCACCATCAGCGATTCGTCAGCACATTTCGTTGTGTCTAAGTTGGCTCCATTCAATACGAACTAATTCCCGCACTCACACGCCTATGGGTGCCAATGCAGCTACAAATGTTGATGAGTATCCATTCTGTTCGAAACGTTGCATGCAAAGGTGTCCCTATGAATATGCGAATAGTTTATGTGACATGTACTCGACAACACAAATCGCATTAGGATCCATGTCGAGTTACCTGACGTCTCTGACAACAAGTAGCGTTCGTCAACGTTGTCCACTTTCCCATTGTGGATTCCACCATGAAGTCTTCCCCCTACGGAATCTCACGACACAGGCGTCGAGGTTCTCTCTGGTGGAGGACGAGAAGCTTTTCCTTACGCGCACGATATTGTCTTGCTTGTCAGCGATGTTGGGGCAACCCGGTCAAGCATGCATAGACTCTCTATGGTATTCCCATCATTTGTCATGCGTTTCGCGCCTTCAAAGTGCAAAGTATTGTTCCGGGACCACCAGTCATTTGATGACCCTTTGACCCTTGATCATGAGGAAAACTGGCATCAGCAGTGCGCCGGTACGCAGTAACGACGCTTCGCTGCCGCTCAACCGCCACCATTCTCACGTGGACAAAGGATACTGCGACAGTCGCCCGGTCCCTACGCCTGCTCGAAACCGCACTCTTGGGTTACGAGGCAAACTTGTGATCCTTAAGGCTACCGGCCGGCATATTGCGGAACTCGAGATAGTTGATTCATTCGCTTGTCAACTGCATCGGCAACGACGGGCGCGTAGCCCTTGAAGATGGGGAAGCTAGAACAGCTTTCTCGAACCTGGGGCATCGGTTCCGTCGGGAGAGGGGTTCGCTTGGTCTTAAAAGCTGTGTTTACAAGGCCACAGTGAGGGTTGTCCTGCTATGTGAGAGTGCGAGTTGGCCCCTTCGGTCGGAGTATTTGACGAGCCTTCAAGTGTTTAATCATCACTGCTTACAGAGCATTACTGGTATCGGATGACACCAGCATATCCACAACGATGATTTAAGTAGGCGGGTTCTAGGCTGTGATACTCAGGCCAGGTCCCTAAAATCACAATTAGTACTAGATAAGTTGCCTTGGCTTGGGCACGTGCTACTTATGCCCACTCACCGCTTACCAAGGAAGGCCATGTTTATAATACGTATTTTGACGAAAAGCTCGTGGTAAGCAAAAGTTAATTTGGCAGCGGTAAATTAAGTCAATAGCTACGGAACTTGGTGGCGTTGGTCCGTCTGACGTTCCAAGCTGAACTTCACCTGACCCACCTTTTGCTTGGCTCGCGACGTTACAGGACATGGCTCGCAGTCGACACCAGTTGCGCGTCTTCTGCCGTTCCCTAGTCGGACTGTCTGTTTAAAGTGTGCTTGGTACTGAGTTGTCTGCGGGGCAATGTCTGGATATGACGCGGGGCAGTGAAAGCCCCAAGGAAGTTGTCTAGCCGATGTCGCCTTACCTTTACACAATAGCCAGCTGTTTGTGACGGTATGTTTTTGACAAGGTGTAAACGCCTTGACTTCGGATATTTGCTCGAGGTGTTAGGGTTTTACCCTAGGTTCTCCTTCCGCTCTATTATTCTTCATTCCGTCGATCAACTTAGTTGTACGACAGCAAAACATCAGTTCAAATGGCTGATGTACTGCTGTTGATAGTGATGGATGTAGATTAATCTGTCAGTTACACCAGCTTCCACATCATTAAGAGCAAAGCGGCTTGCAGTTGGTCGGAAGTCTTACATCGAAGCAAGTGCCACCTGATGGAAACACTGTAGGACTTTGTCGAGGGTTAGCTGTGTCAATACGATTGTCACATTGTGAGGCGATGGCGTCCGCGTAATCCAACTCAGCGAGTCTTTACTCGATACACCCGTGTTTAATTACCGGGGGACTGGGATAATCCTGGCGGACACCGACAGTTCACCAAAGACCTTGAATTCATCATCATTTCACGTTAGTTGAGGGTGAGAAACACACCTCAGTTAATGTACCGCAATACAAGAAAGTAACATATAAAAAGTTACACTACAAAAAATTTAAAAGTTGGTAATATAATCTTAAATATTATATTATGCATTTTGTATGAGATCAGAATTGGAGGGGAAATCCTGCAGACAGGGGGATGGACAAAGAAACTCACAACACAAGCGCCACTGGGGCCGGTTCCAACCCTATCAGCAAATGTGTCCGACCAAACGTGTTCATAGTCCTTCGAACCCTATCCAGGCAGCCGGGAGACACCAATCAACGCCAGCTTCGAAGTGAGGGTCTTCATTTCTTTCGACCAAGTCATCACTTAGCTTCCCCTCCTTTTCTTCCATCCGCAACCCCGGCGTGCAAACAATGCACGTCGCGGGAGTCGGTGAGCTAGCATGCACAACACGTGGCCTGGTCATTGGAGCCTGCTGCGCGATATAATGGTGCTGAGCGGTTCACTGGCTCTTTCTGTACCGAATACACGTTGCCAAACACGCTCATTGCTTACCCGGTACTGCTACCAGACATGGGGTAACCTGCGGAGGCAGCGATGGTCGAATGTGACGAGCCTCTTTATGTTTTTCGTCCTGATGGGCCAGGTGCATTTGAAATGACCCATGGTGTTCGAACATAGTGTACCTAAAAGGTTTATCCACTTCATAGGACCACCCTTTCCACCCAATATGCCTTCCGGAACCTAATGATCTATTGAGTCGAACGCGTTCTTGAAATCGGGGAACATTACTGTTAAGTCTACTTAAGCTGTATCTGTTCGTACGGGCACATTTTCGGCATTTTCGCATTGACACTGCGGAATATAATATTACAACACATCAATGCGAACTAGTATTGGCAGCATTAAACGAAAATTTGCATATTTACTCAAGCCTACGGTGATAAAAGTGGTGTTTCATTCCCGATGGGTCAATTAGTAAGCGTGACAGGTAATGCAGAATGGAGTTTCGATACGACAAGATACGAGCATATAAAACTTCACATTGTGAACCTGTAGAAGAAGTGGAAATAGTGCTGGCTAGGCTAGCATATAAAGAGTGAGAGGGGTTGTTTATAATCCAAGATACAATGTTGATGCATCCATCAAAATGGTTATTAACAATGAAATCAAGGAGCAGGTCTTTCTTTAAACCTGCAGCGAGAAATACATTTTAGCGCACTGACAAGCTGGACACATAATCTTTTTGAAGCAATCTGGGAAAATAATGTGGGAGCAGCTTAAATAGTGTATACTGTGTACGGAGAAAATGCAGCGAGTAGATATGCCTGTGTAGCTACATCTAGTATCTTTTAACTAGCTCTACCTTTTATGATGA